TTGCTAATTCCATCACTTTTTGCAGCCACCCTTCCATAGTGGTGATCAAAGTGTCCTTCCATTTTTGGGCATAAATAATATGGCTGCCATCAACATATAAAGCACCAAGGTTCCAATTTTTCCCCCAAAGTCTTTTTACATCAAACCCAAATGAAAGGTTTCTGGTTTTATCTTTATATTCACTTTTAGATGTGAATCCTAATCCAATACTTCTTTGCTTTATCACATGTCCAACATAAGTGATAAAATGCCCCTTCTTTACATTTGCATTTCCAACGTTCATTTGAAATGCCTTGACATATTTTTGACAGTTTATCTGGTGCTAAATACCAACAAAAAAAATCAAATTTGCTTTTTAAAAAAACCAAGCGTGGAGGAAGATTTTCCATGTAAAGCACACGGAAGTCACCCTCTTCTCAGGATCAATGGTTGGGCCTCTTCAGGCCTGGCTGGCTGCTGGCCAAGCCTTCGTCCAGTCTGCCTCCCGGCTGTCCTGCCTTTAGTCTGAAGTGAATCTTGAACTTCACAAAATCTTATGTATGTGTATTATAAAATTCCTCTGGTTCATATCATCCTAGGCTTCATAGGATGAGATGTATACCTAAGCCAGATATCTCTCCCCTCAAAAAAACAAACCCAGGGGGAGACATGCTCCAGCTGCTTTAGCTAATCATTCCCAGGGGCCTTTTGCTGCTAAATTAGCTGCTACTTCAGGTCTAACACAATTGCACGGAATCCAGAGGGGCACGTGCAGGCAAGTTCTGGCTCGTGGACACTCAGGTTCCCATCCAAGTGAGATACCCGCTTAAAAAACTATCCCTTTCTGCTACTGTGCAATCCAGCATGAAAGAGCTACGCTCACCGGGCGTTTCCCCAAATCCCTGGCTCTCCTGCCCTGGCCTCAAGCTTTTCCTGGGAAGAAGGGCCAGAGCCCGTTGCCCATCCCTATCCAGACCTTCGCAGGTGGCCTAGCAGGAGAAGGGACAAACCCTTCAGGATTAGCAAACCATCGCCAGGCAGGCCAGTATTGGAAAACCAGAGTAACAGAATTTCCTAAGCCTGAATGTGTTTGGCCCTTCTCTCTCTCTCTAACTTGGGAGGGTCTTGGTCTTCCTTGCATTACATCTTTGCCCTTTAATCTGCTTTGGTAGCAGCTCTTCTTCCTGTCCTTCCAGGCCATTTCCTCTGCATGGAGCAGTCATGGGTAGGAAAGCCAACCTGATGTAGGAAGGCTTCTGAAATCCGATGCTGCTCTCCTGTGTAGAAGAATGGCCTGGAAGAGCAGTCGGTATCCTACATCATGTCCACGGAGCACATACTCTGTGCTCTCTCCCCTCCCTTCCCTTCCCTTCCCTTCTCCTCCCCTCCTCTTCCCTCCCCACCCCTCCTCCTCTCCCCTCTTCTCTTCTCCCCTCCTCTCCTCTCCCCTCCCCTCCTCCCCTCCTCTCCCATCTTCTCCTCTCTTCTCCCCTCCTTCTCTCCCCTCCCCACCCCTCCTCTCCCCTCTTCTCTTCTCTCCTCCTCTCCCCTCCTCTTCTCTCCCCTCCTGCGGAACCACATTCTCTGGAAATCCCAAGAGACCTGACCCTCTCAGCCTTTTGCAAACCTTTAAAGACCTGGATGTTCCCCAATGCTTTGGGCCAGAAAAGGATGTCGGACCTACTGGTTAATGTTTCTTTGTTCCAAGCCAGACGTCTAGCTTGCAACATGATTTAGGCAGCCGTCTGAATCAGAAAAACAAAGACAAACGAGTGGATTTTGGATAGATGACGAAGTGGAAGATACTGATAGGCCACATCATATGTGTGTTTATATGTGTGCTTAAAAATGAAAAACCAGCTTACCTTTCTTCTTTTTAGGACTTGTGCCTACAAAAGAAAAAAAAACACATTTCTGTTGTTTGAAACCACGTCCCATATCTATTAACACCTGATGAATAAAGAATAAAAATCCAACATCCCATCCCTGCACAACAAATTCAGTATATAAACAAGAAGAACAAAAAAAAACACCCCAGAATATAAATATTTTTATGATTATATTTTGGAGTTCATTATAGTCCCCAACCTCCTGCCAGAGCAGGAATCACTCCCGGAGGTGAAAGCCTCCCCTTGCCAACCATCCTGTCAGCATCTTTCTCTCTACTACAGGGGTGTCAAACTCAAGGCCCCGGGGGCCAGATCTGGCCCATGGGGCGCTTAGATCTGGCCCACGGGGCCACCCTGGAAATAGCAAAGGACCGGCCCACGGTGCCTCTGCCAGTGACAATGGAGGTCACCAGGGCCACTGGTGGCCTTCCTGAGCACCGTTTTCACTGGCAGAGGGTTGCAAGAGGCCCTTCCAGCCCAAAACAGACCTCGGTAGCCCATTTTAGCTGGCAGAGCACAACAGGCCACAACAGGCGCCCCCCCCCCCAACACAAGTGACGTCATGCTGGCCATGTCCACCCCAGCCTCCCGAGGACAAGCATGACGCTGATGCAGCCCTCAATGAAATCGCATTTGACATCCCTGCTGTCCCGGGTTCTCCCTCTCTACTCTCCTGATGCTTCCCATGGAAGGACAGTCAGAGTTGGACCTTGAATGATGATGAATTGAAGAGCAGGACAGAAAGAAGTGGGGAAATAGCTTCATCTTCCGCAAGACAATTCAGCCACCCCAAAGCAAACTTAACACAGCTGATGGCTGTGAATTAGAAGGTGGAAGCCTGATTCAGTTCTAAAAGGAACTGGCTAAAATGCAGAAAGGTTTAAACTCTGTGCAAGCATACTGGAATGAAAAAAGGGAGACTTTAGGGAGATGAGAAAATTGGAAGAAGAGCCCATGAGAGGAGATAGATGGCACAGGCCTTCCTCTCCCCCAGTCTAGATCGTTCTGGCCTCTCTGCTCATGGCCCCTTGCTCTGGGGCAGGGATCCCCAACCCTCTGATCCACAGCTCAGTGCAGGAACATAGCCTGTTCGGAACTGGGCCACAGTAGTGGTGGGGGAGCACGCACATGCAGGATGCTGCATTTGTGAAAGCAGTGCACGCGCATGCATGAAACCGTCCCCTCCCCACCACCTCCATCAGTCAGCCGACCTGGAAAGCTTGGGGATTGCTGCTCTGGGACACGCAGAGCCTGATCTGGATACCAAGAGCTGCCCTTCTTTTGGGGGAATAAAGTAAATATCCTCAGCACCTGCCATCCAATCCTAGAAAAAGACTCCTTGATTTATGATTCGTGTAGCAACTGTTCGAACTTCCTACAGTACTGGAAAAAGTGACTTTTGACTGGTCCTTGCAGCATCCACACGGCCATGCGATCCATTCAGGCGCTTGGCAACCAAAGTTGATGCCTGAGGGTTGCAGCATCTTGGGGTCACGTGACCAGTCACGTCCTGGCAAGCAAAGTCAACGGGAGAAGCTGGTTTGGTTAATGACTGCCTGATTCCTTTAAAAAGAGCAGTGATTTGCTTAACAATCATGGTAAACGGGTTATAAAATCAGACCTAACTCACTTAACAACCACTTTGCTTAGCAATGGAAATTCTGGTCCAATTGTAAGTCAAGGACCACCTGCATTTGGTCGTAGATACATTCCACCTCAACTGGCTTTTGAATTTATGCAGCCCTGAGAGCAGAACCTTCTCTTTGCGTGTGCAAACGAGTGTGCATGTGTGCAGAATCACGGCCACGTGGTGCTGCACCCAGGGGAGTCTCTGCCATGGTCTCCATTGGAGAGAACCTCCGTCCTGAGTGCCCCCCTGGGAAGAACCCCCCAGGAGAGGCTCTTTCCACCATCCAAGCTCAAGGGAGCCTCAGCCTTTCAGCCATGTGTTTGGAAACAAACAGGGCTTGCCTCCACCATGGACTTCTCTCCGCAGACCGGCTTCTGTTGCCAAGAGTAACCCAATCCAAGCCAGAAGCTGGACAAGATGTTGGGAAGGGATCATCCCTGAGAAAGAGCAACAGCCGTGGTTTGTTCCAGACTGCCTGTACAACTTCATGGAGGTCATGTTGCAAAACCTTCTTTGCAGTTGCCTGGAAGAGCATGGAGCAAACCTTTTAATGTAAGAAATGCTTCCAATGTGCTATTTGGAGCCACTTGTGGCCGCCCTCAGAGGACCTGTGAAATGTTTCCTTTGGCATCAGCAGCAGCTCCCACATTATCAAGAGTGCATAAATCAGTGGTGGGTTGCATGCAGTACGCCCTGGTATGGGCATACCGGTGCCTGCCCGGAGCACCGGGTACTGTTCCGGTATGGTGCTCCGGAGGGCCCACCTGCCTGCCTGAGCTCCTTATCTGTATTTGAGCTCTTCGGCATTTCCGCGCACAAACACGGTGGAGCATTGCGGAGGCATCAAAAGAGGTAAGGACTCATGTGCGCACTGCACGCATTCATGTGGTAACCGTACCGGTTGCAACAGGATCCAGAACCCACCACTGGCATGAATGCTTTGCAACCAAGGATGTTCACAACTGAATTAATATGGGAACAGATGGGGGGAATTCTCCACAAAAATCAAACTGGAAAGTTTTGAATATTGCTGTGTTGGAGTTATTCAGAGGGTGATATTTTATACGTAGTCTTCAACTTTACAGGTTTGTTTAGTGACTGTTTGTAGTTACAGCGGCAATGAAAAAATTGAGTTATTTGGGGGGGGGGGAAGGCAGCATATATTTTCTCTCCCCATTTTGGGGTGGTAGGGATTTAACCACATGCAACCTCTGCTTCATTGTCCCTCTGTCTCTCTTCAACCCCAAGATTCAAGCTCTTTTTTTGGTGCACGTATAGTTGTACATATAAGAGAATCTGGAAAAAGATTGCCTAATTAGTCCTGTAGATATTCTGTTCTGTTGTGTTTTTTTCTGCAGCTTGCTCCAAGTGTATTTGGTAAAGGGAAAATATTAAAACATTCAAATTCATATACTGGGTAACTTCCCAGAATATTTTTGTTTTCTCACTGCAATGTCAGGCTTTGACCCGAGGATGGAAAGAAATCATTTTGCTCAGAGCACTCAAGACATGGCTATCCATCTACCATTTAAATATCTCTAGCACAGGAAAGCCAGTGGATTGTGTGTGTGTGTGTGTGTGTGTGTGTGTGTGTGTGTGTGTGTGTGTGTGTG